GGAGGAGGATGCGAATGTCAACGATTAGTTCCTTTTCGACTGCGATTTGGCTACGGATACGGATTCGCATTCCTGCGCTTACAATATTAAGGACGAAACCAACGCTATATATTATATATATATGTATATGTATATATGAGTACAATATATATATATATATATATTCATACTCAATATGTTAAACAATTCAATATCTTATAGTACTTTTTTTTTTCTTTTTTTTTTATAAATATATTTCTCAAAATATCTGTTTACATTTATAGTCCTAATATTTATTTATTTACTTATTAAACGTAACAGAAAAAAAAAGAAGTTAACTTTAGCTTAACTAAAATGTTTCTGCGTTTTTGTATCAGATTGATTCAGAATAGGCCTTTATATATATGTATATACTTTGAGGCATCAATAGGCCAAAGATTTGCTCAAATTTTGATATAAGTCTAGTGATTATAACAATGAGAAACTTGGCAGCATATACGGCTGGTATTTAAGAATTAAACAATAACATTTAGCTTAATTATAAATTAAGGCACTCGCTGATTTGTGTCGGGGGCTGAGGCATCAGTGCAGGCCCATGGAGAGGCCAATTCGTTCGGAGAGCGAGGCAAAGTTTGTATAGAGCTCGTTGTCGCTGAAGTAGAGGCCGATGAGCAGCTTGAATTGCGCCTGGGTCAGTGGATAGGATTCGGTGGGCAGGACAATGATGGCGTCGACAGCGTTTAGTTTTTGCTTCTGCTTGGATGCCTGCACCATTTCTAGATAATTGCAGAAGGCAGCGGCACACTTGGCTATGTGCCGGACCAGAGTCGAGGTTGTGCACTGCTGCAGCACAGGACGACTAAGCAGTTCGGTGATAATCGAATACATATCGAATATAATGAGATCAGGACGCGGCTGGCAGTCATACAATTCAATAATGCGACGCGGTGCGCTCTCAATGTCCTTCAGTGTGATGCTCATCCAGCGCTCCATGTGGACGAGCGAGCGCGGCTTCTTCAGTGTGGCAGGCAGATTGAATTGTTGTTGGGTCAGCAGGAGTACCTTCTTTTCGTGGTTCACACAATGCTCGCACAGCTGCATTGAAACAGAGATCAGCGAAAAGTTGCAGCAGTTATGCCGAACAGAACGGGACTTACCTTCAGCATAGGACGGCTGTAATCGCCATTGGGCGACAGGAAAATGTGATTCCTTGTCAACTGTAAGCATGGATAATTTTGAATGCTTGATTTTAATAAATAAATAATAATAGTAGTTTACTTACACCGTCCTCTGAACTGTGGAGCATATCTGCCGGCTTTTAATTGAGCGCTTTAATATCTCACTGAACACAATTCTACACTTCAGGGTTGCTTGTAACAAATCGATTGGCTAAACTATCGGTATTACAGTTACCGATATACCACCGATTAGCGGGCTTTTTAATTTATCAGTAAAATAGTTGTCAATCAAATCTTTATATTTCTATTGCTTAAGAAATGTTTATATGGCACTGAGCAATTTTTTCACATATTAATTTTTCCATTTCCAAAGTATATCTCATTTTGAAATTGTATTTTGAACATAGTTAACTTACGTTCACATAACAATGTTAATGACTTATGTTAATGTCACTTTAAAAGTTCAATTGAGTAATAACAGTGCCATTTCGAGTATAACATAGTGCCACTTTCACCACACTGCAAAATTAGTGCTGTAAACGGCCGGCAGTTGACTACTGGTGTGACCGAGATAAACATATAACCATCGCCGAGCGAGATAAATATACGAAATAACGCTGTAAACTCAACACAACCGTGCCGTGCCGACGAACGGAAGAGCGCACAAAGCGTAATGTGAGAGAATTGAAAAAAATCATCAAGTATAGAGGCCAAAAGCAAACGCAGCAGTTAGGCAAATTTTAATATTTTTGATTAATAATTTAAAATATCGCATGCTGGCTGCATTAACGAGAAAGTGAATGCAAGCGGCACGAAAATTGCGGTAAGATAAACAGCCAAACTGAACAGCAAATAGCCAAAAAATTCAAAGAAGCGACGACGACCAACCAGCCAACCAACACTTACATACATATATACATACTCCGACATATACGCACGCACACAAACATACACACACACGCACGCATACTCCAGTGAAAAAGTGCAAGCCGCGAGCGCTTTTGAAGGCGTGAAACAGAGATCAGCTTCAAAGAAGTTGAACTAAACACAAAGAAGGCATGCAAATTTGATTGGAATTATTGCTATGGCCAGATGCTGATGTTTGCAAACACATTTCCGTGTTTTTAGGAAGGCAACATCGAACGGCGAACGGCAATTGCCGACGACTACTGCTGCGGCCGCGATAGAACTCATACACGCACACATATACACAAGTCCACACGCAGACACACATAAACACAGTCAAATACAGTGAAGCACGCACGCACACACACACGTATATATATAAATATATATATATATATATATACACACACCCGCGCGTTCCGCAGTGTGGAGCAGGAGCTACAGGACGGCGTGAGGCATAGAGCGGAGAGGAAGAGGCCCGGCAGCCAGGCATCGCAGCGCTGCCGCCATTATCTGAAAGAGAAGCAGAGGGAACAGCGCGGGTCGACAAGTTGATGCCACTGCTGACTAGCGTTACCATTGCTTTCGTCGTCGTTGTCGTCTTTGGCCAGGAGGAGGAACTCTGTATCATATAAATATTAACAACAACAACAATAACAAGAGAAGCGTATTGGCGAAAACTTTGCATTGATGGTAATGCATGCTAGAAAACCGCAGCGTATGAACGATGGGTAAATTACAATTTGAATAACATTACACCTATATCTAACGATGCATATATATACTATATAAATACGTATATCAATAGTTATGTAGTTACTAAAACCTTAGTGAAACCAATTTGTGTGCATTGATACGTCGAAAAGCCCTAAAAACTTAAACGCTAACTTTTGTTTACATATACATATATGTACGCACGTTCCGTGCTGCTGCTTACACACACACATGCACACATACAGGCAAAAATTCACATGCTTATGTCCCCGCCCCGCGAATCGTGATAGTGAACCCATCTACATAGACGAGTGTATGGCTGTATGTGACTGTGACTATATGTATAAAACATATGTGATTTCTGCAAATGTTTTAGTGAAAGAAAAAAACATTAATTGATGTGTTTGTTGCATATTGTCGTCTTGTAATATTCGGTTTGCTTCATTCTGTTCCATTGCGTTGCTCTCGTTTAGCGTGCTTTGGCTCATTCTCTAAACGTTCGTTTTGTTCATTCGTTGTGTCTTTCGTGTGCCGTCTACGTCAAGTTATTCACCACACTTTATGCGCCTCTCGCTCGCACACTCTCAGTTGCTCAGCTGTATGGCACGCTCTCCTTCTCTCTGTCATCATCTCTTGTCATTTACCGCTGCAGCAAAAGAAAATCGGTCCAGCCTCAATTCTTTTTGATTGGAGACGAGAGCTGTTAAGGACTTAACCTGCAGCATTAGAATTTAATTTTTTATTAATTTGTTTGATTTTCTTTGTTTGCTCACGTATTGCATGTTAATCATTTCGCTGCGAACTAACAATTCAATTGGCTTTCATTGGAAAATCGAATCAAATTGAAATTCTTATTTTAATTTTTTTTTTGTGGGTAAATATCTGCCAAACATCGTTTGGCCATGCAATTGAACGAAAAAGAAGAACCATCACAAACGCATTATTTGTGAATCTTTTCCCCATTTTCATTAGAATTGCATCGGCTGCACGACAATTGCAAATAATCAGAATAACATTAAAATGGATATGAATGCTTTTTGGAACGATTCAGAATCGGAGGGCGATTCGGGCCGCGGCTCAAATTGGAGCGAAACCCTGAGTGACTTGACCAACGATAGCGTCCAGCAAATGCCATCTGCTGCCGAGAATGGTCCAGAACAATTGGCCCTTCTTTGCAACGATAGAATCTATAACCTGGTGCCTGATGGCGATTATGATCACATTGAAGCGGAGCTAGAGAAGTGTACGCTGACGATTGACTTGTCCGAGGTGGATGATGAGGAAGCCAACCTAAATCCGGCTCCTGCTCTTCGCGATCCCGAAACCATTGATCAAGTTGCTGAGGAAGCTGAGGAGGCTGAACCGGCTCCGGCTGATACCGAGCCGCCCGTATCCCTTCACATGATTCAGCCATCTTACACCGTTGTCTATACGCTTTGCAAATCCGTCTATGATAACAACAATAAGTTGGTATCGAGCAAAATTGCCCATACCGAAGCATATCCATGCTATAATCTACCCGATGACGACAATAATGGGGCCGAGAATGGGGTCAATGGGGGATTCGAATGTATATTCTCCGATGACGACTTTGATGCCAATAACTACTATGATGGCAATGGCGGCTATGATGCCAATAACGAATATAATGTCAATGATGATGCTAATGGCAATGACGATACTAATTTCAATGGCTTTGCTGATGTCAATGACAATGCTGGTATCAATGGCGAGACTGATGCCAATGCCTATGGTACTGGTAACATCAATCTCAATGATATCGATGGTATATATGCTGATAATGATATTGGCGATGTCTATGAGGATGATGACGATGATTTCATTGAACGCACTCCATTCAAACGCAGGCGTCTTGATTCCCACCCATAATGCCATTAACCCTATAGCACTGCTTCACTAACTCACAAATTGTTATCACGACTAAAAAAAAAAAAAAATGGAACAGAAAAAAAGCAAAAATCAAATCAAAAAAATATCACCAAAGAAATATGAAAACATGAAGTGATCTAATAAATATTTAGTTTATAACATTACTTGTTGCTTTTGTGTTGCGCATGTTATTTATTTCTAGTCAATGATTTATTTAGTTTATAAAGTTTGCACTTTGGTTTGCACCTTTAACATAGATTACTTAAGTAGATATGCTCTACTAACTGTTAACTTGAGGCATTTAATCTGATTGTTTACTTTCTCGATTTGCAGGTACTTTGAGAAGCATACCAGTCACACATCCTACCAGGTGAGCAAGGATTACCCATTGACGAGAGCCCAATACCAATACCAAATACCAACAAAAAAAAAAAAAAAAAAAAAAAAAAAAAAAAGAAAAGAAAAGCTAAACCCGCCTCTACCACAACTCAGCCACACTAATACTTTCTCGTACTAATAATATATCCTTGGTTTGTTAGAGATTGTTAATCAGCTCATAAGCTTTCTTTTTATCTTATCTTATCTGTTTCTGCTTTTCATTTGTATCGCCAAGTTAGTTCCATTTGTACTATAGATGTATGCCAAGTCCATAGATTCATGATTGTCTCTCATAGATCCATGCTAGAATCCTTCCTTTGTTACATTCATTTGATGTTTTTGGTTTCTCTGCACCTGTGTGTGTGCTGTATTTACATACATATATTGAGATGGTGTGTGTTGTGGGTGCTATCATAATCACACGACAAGCATATAGCCGATATGTTCGCTATATATATATGCATATATATATATATACGTATCTATATCCGTCTGTATGTTGTACTGACGCAACTTTCATTTGTCACCCCCTCTCCAATCCACTCGGCATTTTGGGCACGCGGCATTGCAGCGAATCGAACGAACTGATCTAACTAATGTACACACGTAATTAGAGTAACACCTGGGATAAAGCTACATAGAAACCAATAACACTGGAATCCACAATTCTAAATCGAACAACAGCAACAACAACAACAATAATAACAATCGAAAACGTGAAACTTGTTCCGAATCGTAAGAGATATCGTAAAAACGTATCGAAAATTGTTCAAGTATTTAATATATATTTAATATATATTTGCCTAAACGGAAAACTAGCAGAATATCAAGTAATTTTTATTAAACATTTTACGTAAATGCATAATTTTGATAAACGAACAACTTTAATGAACTTCGAATTGCCAGACCAAAAGAGAACAACACCAAAGAACCTAAAGCAATAAACAATTAACATAGTATTTATTTAAATAATAACTACAACAAACAACCAACAACAACAACAACACTGCGCATATTCAAAAGTAGCCTTAAAATTCAAATTGAACATAAAACTCGCTTATGACTAACAACAACAACAACAACACAAACGTGCCTAAGCCATAAACAACACTAACAATTGGATATATATAAGCATAAGGAGAGAGAGAGAGAGAGAGGAGAGAAGCAACGAGGAAGGAAGGAAGCAAGGAAAAGTCTTTAAAACTCCCATAAACAAACTCAGACAGGCAGACAGACTGCAGTGCTTCAGCAGCATTCTGAAGGTGTTGCTGCACTCGACAACAACAACAACAACAACAACAGCAGCAAGAGCAACAACAATAATAACAAGAATAATTTTAATAACAACAACCATAACGACGGCGACGACGACGCGACGTCAATTGAGGAAGACGCGGCCGCGCGGCAGGACGAGCACGACGCCAACGCCAACGCCATCTATGACGAGCGGCAGCAGCGGCGGCAGCAGCAGCAGCAGCAGCAGAAGCAACATGGCCGTGGATTTGTCCATGCTGACAAATAGCACCAGCAGTACCAGCACTAACAACAACAACAACAACAACAACAGCATCAACAACAACAACAACAGTCACAGCAGCAATAAAATTGCAGCACATGCAGCAGTAGCCGCAGCCGCAGCAGCAGCAGTCGCCACAGCCTCAGCAGCTGCGATTGGAGTCTGTCGCGTTGATGTAAGTAATTAAAGCAAACAACAATCAAACAAACAACAAATCAATGGAAAATTGCATTCGCAAGTGGCAAAAGTAAAATGAACTGAATAATTGTGAAAGAAAAACAAAAGAAGCTGACGAAAACAAATCAAATGCAAATAGAAAAGAAAAAAAAAAAAAAACCATAACACATGACACACACACGCACACACATTCATATACACACACCAAGAACAAGAACAAGAACAACAACAACAAGAACAAGAACCAATTGCAACGCGCATATAAAAGCTGAAAAGAAAAACCAAATTCACTTTACGTTTTGATTGTTTACGTGTTTTATGTTCGTTTTGTGTTCGTTACGTGTCGCCCACAAATATCTGTCCTTGCTGCATAAGCAAACGCTCACACACACACTCACAAACAAATTCAAAATTTTCCAAATTCTTCAAATGACAACCAAATCTCTGGAGCTGCACAGCCTCAAGAACCAACCAAGAGCAACAATCAACAGGCAACATCATCATCATCATCATCATCATCATCATCAGTAGCAGCAGCAGCTGTAAATGAAGTGCATCAACTACTATATGAATTGGCAACAAATATTTGATTTAGAGCTAAATACGATATCATAGTAGCAAAATTACTTTTGGTTTATTTAAGTAGCTTTAATTGTTTGTTTATATTTTATTTGTTTTTGTTTTCACTAACATCATGTCAAGCTCTCGAAACGCTCCCTCTCTCTGTCTCTGTTTTCCCCTATATCCCCCCTCCCCACGACTCTATCCGCTGTTTCTGTTTTGTTTAACCCATTCTCTCGTACATTGGCAATGACAATAACAATGATAACAATAACAATAATAATAATCATAATAATCAATAACAAAGCAGCTGTAACAATAAACACAATAACAGCAACAACAACAACAACTACTACTACTACTACTACTACTACTACTACTACTACAGCAACATCCATATCAATAACAATAACAATAACAACAATTAACAACCTAATTCCGAATACAGTATATTGCGTGTATTCTTTCCAGTATTAATGCAAATCCTAAACATTTCAACATCTTATTCGACAGAGCTCAAAGTACAGCAGTTCAAAGCGCGACTATGAACGCGATCGTTCCTCCAATTATCGCGATCGTGACATTTCACCTGGCGGTGGTGGTGGCGGCGGTGGCGGAGGCGGCGGTGGAGGTGGAGGTGGTGGCGGCGGAGGAGGTGGCGGCGGTGGCGGTCCATTGAATAATGGCAACAGTTATCGTTCACAATCACCGGACATAGATTCACCATCATCGCGCTCGCATGATCTGCGCGAACGCAGCGATCATCGGAGTGGCGGAGGTGGTGGCGGCGGCGGAGGTGGCAGCAACGATCGCTACAGTTATATACAAAAGATGCGTGATCGGGATCGGGATCTCTACAAAAAGGATAAATATTCCGGTAGCTATGCTCAAATGCTCAAATTCATTAAATATTTCCATCCGATTCTCATACAAGTATTCCTAACCATTGCAGATAAACGTGATCGGCGCGGCAATGATCGCGACTCGGAGTCATCGTATCGCACGAACCACGACAGGGATCGTCGTGGGGGTGTGGCAAAGCTATGCTCGTCGCGCGAAAACGATAAGCGCTCCGGGTCCGATGATCGGGATCGTGAGCGTGATCGCGATTTGCGCGACAAGCGTGACAGAGGCGCCGATCGTGATCGGGATATGTACAAGAAGGACAAATATGCAGGTATGCAGTCACAGCATTCACAAAAGATCGACAAAAGATATATTAATTACGCTTTTACGTACCTCCATTAGACAAACGGGAGCGCAGCGATCGTGGCGAACGTGTGGCGCGCTATGGCGACTGGAGCGAGCATGTGAGCTCATCCGGTAAGTATCCGAATGGACCTAAAGCAATGTTGTCCATAATTATTAAATCGATTCTTCACTTGCAGGTAAAATGTATTACTATAACTGCAAAACTGAAGTCTCCCAATGGGAGAAGCCTAAGGAATGGGTAGATAGAGAAAGGTAATCATCCACTACAAATCAGCACCTTGACAAGGAACAAGATTTATGAATGATCTGCAGTTAGGACAAAGAAAATCAATGTTCGAATATATACAGAAATTCAAATCATATCAAATCTAGTCTCACAGTTTAGATTTCAAAGAAAATCTCGTAATGTCAGACTTATCTAACTTATGATATTTATGATATCATTCATTTATCTTGTAATTTGTCAAGGATCGCGTCCATCAATGTGAGCAAATCATTTATAATATATATATATATTTGATTCGCTTTAGAAATTTGCCGCGTGATCAACATCGTGAGAAGGATTACCGCGATAAGGATCGGGATCGAGATCGCGATGATCGATTCTCAAGATCGAGTAAGTCGCTTGCAGTCTGCATCCACAGTGGACACAACAATTGACACATATTATTCCTACATTCGCAGCATACAAACATTCCAATTCATCGCGCGACAATTCACGACTGAGATGGAACTACGAAAATGATGGCGGGCCGCCCAGCCATCGAAGGCGATTGGATGGTGAGTGGCATTGAAGGATTGCTGTCGAATTGCTCGATTGATCGTTAATATATGTTTGTTTGATTTGTCTGCAGGTCGACATAACGATAATGCTGATATGGACATTAGTGGCGACTCGACGCCCACCTCGGAGGCCAGTTATTCGTTAAGCGGCACACCCACCACGCATGGTGGCAGCGTGGGCGGCGGCATGCAGTCTAGTGAACAGTCGTCTCTGATGCCACAGGGTGGATTGTGTAATGCACTGCCTCGACTGGCCTCCCATCCAAATACCGGCGCAGTCGTTACGCCCATTGGTGCGCATTATGGTGCCATCGGTGTGGGCGGCACTGGCGGCGGCAGCGGTGGCGGCGGCAGCGGTGGCGGAGGCGGCGGTGGCGGCGGTCCTGTTAGCGGCGCCACAATGTTGCCCACCAGCGGATTGGCCTCGGTGCCGTCCAACATTGCCAACAGCAGCAACAGCAGCCTTAGAAACTCAGTTGTCGGCCACATTGGCTCAACGTCCAGCGTAAGTTTTGGACAAAGATTTGCATTCTCAATGGAATATCCTTTGCTAATTGTGTGCGTGTGTGTGTGTGTGTTTCCACTTAACAGACGACAGTGCCGACGCTTGCGAATCAGGATCATCATCTGAACTCGAATGCGCCCGGACCGCCTGGCAAGCTGATCGGCGCTGGTGTTAAGGATCAGACAGCATTGTCGCATCGACAGAAGTTACATTTAGTCCTGAGCGGCATGGATGTGCCCCATCATCATATGCTGGTCGCCGGCAGCAGCGCCAGCGGCGTGGGCCCAACGGGCGCAGGCAGTGGCTCATCCGTGGATGTCGTGAACCATGCCTACAATTCGGTTAACAATGTGACTGCTGGCAGCTTAAGCAGCTTAGGCAGCTTAAGGTGAGTACCGCAAAGCAATTGATGATTGCCAGCAACTAAAGCATTGATATCCCTAATTGTGCCACAGGGATAGCAGCCAACTCAACTCACCGCTGTGCATACCGCATGCCCATCATAGTCTGTCGCCATCGCTGAGCTATACAAAGAGTCCGATACCAACGATCGTGAGTCACACGAACAATGTGAACGCAAGCAATGCCTACACCTGCAATGCACCGTTTGGCCTCAAGGCGGTCGATGGGCTTGCCGTTGGCGTGGGCGTGGTGTCCTCCTCACCGGCGTCAAATGCGATCGGCAATAGCAATGCGATTGCCGGCAGCAACAGCAGCAGCAGCAGCTGCAACGTACCCGGCCTGGGCACTGTCAGCGGCATCAGCGTCATCACCTCCATGGGCAGCAACAGTTTGTGCGGCGGTGCAGCTGCGCTTGGCGAGGGGCCGCCAACGCCAACACAAGAATTAGATTTAAGTGGCTCAGCTTTAGAACAACACCAACATCAACACCAACAGGTGGCTGCTGCAGCAGCCGCCGCCGCAGCAGCCATGGCTGCGGTGCAAGCAACGCAACAGGCGTCGCAACAGGCCCAACAACAGCGCAAACGTAAGCACCGTGCATGCATTTCAAATTTCAAATTCCTTGTAGCCTAATTACATATCATTGCTCTCTTACAATATAGTCGATGGCGCCGGTTCGGCTACGCTAAGCACACTCCAGAGCTGTGTGGCCTCCGTGCAGGCGGCAAATCTGCGCGGCCCGGAAATTTCACCCAAGCTAGCAAAATACTTTCGCGCTGATTTGATTGCGCACGTGACCAACTGGCAGGCGGAGATTCTGGAGCGTCAGGTAACTAGAAGATTTAATCGAGAGTAGTTGCTATAGGAGAAATCCTATAGTTAGTTAATTTATTATGATGCTAAGCGTTTGCACTAGAAGATATTTTAGGGCGATCATTCTTCAGGCTTCAATTAGCCGATTATAATTTTGGCTTAAGGCTTAGTTTAGTATATGTTTAAATATTTGAATTTGATATATTGATTATTTCAGGCGCAAAAGTGCTGCGAGGACACGCATCTATTTGGGGACATCAACTGCACACGGATATGCGCCGAATTGAAGTGTGCGCGGAGTTTAGTGCGTAGCACGGAGATCAATGCGACGCTGCAAGAACAAAAGTGAGTATAACTATATGTGGCATACATATACATACATACATACACATACATACATACATAGAGATTGGTGCTAATTTGATTTGATCTTTCTTCTAGAATTATGTATCTGCGCCAGCAAATTCGCCGTATTGAAGAGTCGAAGACTCAGAACGCGTTCATGTCGGACGATACTTAGGATCAGGAGCAATTTAGGCTGCGCGTGCATCGTAAGCTGTCAGTCAGGCTCAAAAAGAGCTCCCTTTGGCGCAGCTGATGATGATGAAAGCAATGCCCACCATCCCATAAATCCATGCAGATGAGCTGATGCTACTAAGTCAACAACTCGTCTGTTTGCTCATTCCAATGCAGATTCCGGCTAATGAATCTGATCTTGAGCTGGGCAGAGCTGGGCTAGAAAAAAAACAAAATAATAAAAAACAAAACAAAACAAAAAATAATACAAAAAAAAAAAAAAAAAAAAAAAAAAACACGTGCATCCTATTTTGTTGGCCGCAAGCATTCTCGTTGACCGTGTTGAGCCCTGCGTCAGTGGCAGGCAACAGGTGCCAGCACACCCGAGGAACTTCAGCATCCAAATTGTAGCAGCTGCAGCGTTAACAGCAACACGGAAAAACAAAACAAAACTAAACAAAAAAACAAATAAACAAACAAACAAGAAACATGATGAAGAGAAAAACACAAGATACTAAAACATAATTTATAATTAGCAACGCGTAATTAATAACTTAAATAAGCATGAAGCGCAGCGGAAGTGTTGAGCTTATGATGCCGTTAACCAAACACCAACAAAAACAACAAACAAAATTCAATAACAATCGAAACAACATAGCGAAACTAATTACACAAAAAAACAAAAAAAAGAAGAAGAAAGGTAAAACCAAACAAAACAAACAGAGACTATAGACAGCAACAAATAAGAGAACATAAATATGAAACAAATTCAAGAAGCAATAAGAAAGAAGCCTCCTCGTATCGAATCGAAGAATTAAAACACCAACAGCAAACAGTAAACAACATAGAATAATACAACAAAAGCAAACAAACATAAGTAAATAAAAAGTAAACAAACAAAATGCAAGTCAACCTAGTATACTCAACTGCAATAAAATGATAATTTAACTATATACACATTACATATATTATAAATATATAAATATATATATATATATATATATGTATATATAAGTATATGTCTATGCATATATATATATTTATTATATATACATATATATATATACATATAGCTATATATAGTGTATATGAAAAATGTATATTTACAACAAAACACAACAACAAACGTGCGTGTGGCCAGACTCGATGAATTCCCGTTTTCCATGTGACAGACGAAACAAAAACATAAACAAAACGTTTCGCAATGGATCAGAGAGAGAGAGGAGACGGAGAGGCATGCAGATAGAACGAGAGAGAGCGAGAGGACCACACGCTTAGCCTTCATAGTAGCCGCATATTAATTCGTTAGGGGTATTCACTTTCGACAGTTTCAAAAAGTATTTTTGTGTGCGCCAAAATTTGTTCAACTTTGAAGCTGTCTTTTTGTTAAATACTAAAAAAGAAATATGAACAAAAATCAACAATTTTGTAACTGCTTTTTGATAGCAAGATTTTGCATATGTGTGTGTTTATGTAAGGCAAAACTGAAATTTTGTGTATTTTTATTTCTTAAATATGTGTTTTTTTTTTAATGGATTTGGTATTTTATTTTAATTTTTTTTTTGCAACAAATTTGGTGTGCTGCAAAGGATTCGATTTGTACTCTTATAATATAAATACCTACATGTATACACAACGCACACACACACATACACGCATACACATACACAGACACACGCAGCATCTCGAGAGCGCCTGGCCGCAAGGGCTTCATTTCTAGCTTCTTAGTTCATGTGCGAAAATGTATTTATTTTGTTTTTGAAATTGAATTTGCAAACAGTTGTTTTTTTTTCAACGCATTAATTTTACAACTATTTTTTTTTTTCTTAAATTTAACTATAAATTAGTATATATATAGATATATATATATATATATATATATATATATTAAATACAACATATATATAAATATGTATATGAGTGTAATTTGTCTTATTTAAAAAAGTAAAACAAATGGATTTTGAGTTTTTTTTTTATCAAAACTTGTTTTAAAGTAAAAAAGGAATCCGAAAACAAAAAAAACAAAACCTAGAGAAAAAAAAAACCAGCAAGTTTAATAATATAAATAAATATAAATAATAATAATAACTACTGTAGATATACATATAATTAAATACAATGGTATATATATAAATATATTTAAATACAAAAAGAAGGTAAAATAAAAAATTTATATTACTTAGCTAAGCGTCGAAACCGAAAAATATAAAAACTTTTATGATTAAAATTGTAATTTCTTCTTATTGGGAATGGACATTGCAGATTGAAATAATATATCAAAGTGAAAAGTATGTTAAGGGAATATTGGTAATAGAGCGCGATATGCTTCTAGATAGGAGTGGGTAATTGGTATTGTTGAGGTATAGGACAAATTTCAATAAGTAGAAATTCTAGGGTGCAGCTTATATGTTGTATAATTGAATACGTATGTATGTATGTATATGGCGTATCGTTAACGTAACATGATACTGTAAAGTTAACAGTAGAGTTTTAACAGCAGAGTCTTCTGTTGTTACAGCAGTGTTGGTATGAGACAGAGAGCTTGCACAGAGTTGCCATGGCGGTATTATCCGAGTGAGTTTGCGTGTTGGTAAACTCCTGTATACTCAGGCCGTTACTCTGCGAGAGTGAGACACAGATAGCAGTTGCTGAGTCAGTGAGTGGGAGATGGTCAGCTATTCTAAGTAGGGTACGCTGCTATCAAATTAAACAATTGGAATAGAATTTTCCCATTGTGACGACGTTTAAATACACATGCATGTGTATATATTTCAATTGGAGTGTACCATGCTTCTTTATCTATATTCAAATGTCCATGTGTATATATTGGATTCAGCAGCCAGCACTCCGATTAGCAGTAGCCTAGTTGATTTAAATATAACGGTCATTCACTCGCCTCTTGTCATGCTCTCAGTCGTTCTCTTAGCGCATTTGCTTTGTTAAGCCGGCGTAGCTCGAGCATAATTCCAATTAGAATAAGCGTTGCCAGGGTGCAGCTGTGTGCGCAACGACCAGCACACAAATGGATATACGTATGGCTGTTTACTACACCAGCGTTTATTCTAATTAGATTATGTGTAAATATTATATATTAGATATGCTGATATATAGCACACATTTTACTGAGCTGTAAAGATATTTGAGCTTAACATTATTGATGTACTCACATACATGTATGTACATACATATTCATGTATATGTTATATTCATTTAGACACATTTCCTAACTTACAATCGAAATTCATGAGAATCACTTGGTGGATATCTTGGGCATATGCCGGTTACTAACAAACTGAAGTCCATAGTATAAGAGGGACTAGAAACTATACAATGTTTTGTAATTGCTTGGTGCCACACATTTATTCGTTTTATATTAATAACGTAGTATTGCATGAATTAAATTTTAAAATTTCAACTTATGTTCAACTTGTTAAGCTGCCAATTAGGTAATAAAAAGCAGGTTTAAATAAAAAAAATAAATTCAACTTGTCCGTATCGTCTGCTCGATGTGTTTGCTTGAACTGTCTTATTTAGGTTAGTTGGCTAACGAATCTAATCATATTTAAGGTTGATGGCTTCAACAGTTCAAACAGCTTCATACATATACACATGTGTGTCTGTATGTGTGTCAGTGTGTGTTCGTTAAGAGTATTAATTACTAAGGAATTGTTGCCATGGCTGTGCGCATAAAAGTATGCAGCGGCATTTGAAAGCAGACGTTGGCTTTTAATTCTAATTAGCTTTTGTAGTCCAATCAGAAGAACGCCAGCTTCAGTCGCAGCTGCAGCAGCAGCAGCATCTAAGCTTTCTCATTCAAAGTGAAAGTTAGCGTTACAATCAGAAAGCTTTTGGCATATGCCGGCAAGACCAAAGAGAAATAAACAAAGAGCGGGAGAAACATAGAGAGAGAGAGAGAGAGAGAGAGAGAGAGCGGGGCAAATGCCGCTTGAGCTTTTGCTGCAAAGTAACGGTATTTAACCCAGCAAACAAATTCGCAGCGCAGCGAATTCAAATGAATCCCAAACAAAACGAGCCTCGTGCGAATGAACACCCGAGGACGAGCACAAGCACGAAGCAGGAAAAGCCGACGCTATGTTTACGCCATACACAGTGGCTATGCACCGTTACGCCCCCTCCTTTGCTAGCTGCGCATTTGGCATCTGCGGGCTGTCAGAGGACACCGCGAATGCCAACAAGTAGCAGTTCAGCATCGACAACGCCAGCGTTCGCTTGCGTCTAGCTGAGGCCAGCGCACCAATCCCCAAAAAATAATACAACTCAATCCAAATCAAATATTACAAAATAAAAACAAGTTTGACGTAAATGAAAAACGCGAAAATTTAAGAGAACGATTCTTGAAACTCTTTCGAAAAAAAAAAATACAAAAACTTTTCGCGCAGTGTACTATCATAATTATTTTCAATTTGTTTTCAGTGTAAAGCCAAAGGCTTTGAGTAATATAAACAAAAAAAGAAACAGTAAAGTGCGGTAAGTGGTTCCTAGCGGCAACTGAAAGAATAATTGAAGCACATAAAGCTCGCTGGTTCTTAGACGAGGTAAGACCAGCTTCTTTTCATATAAATGTATATATTTTTTTAAGTGTATTAAAGTGTATTAAGTGTAATGAAATTTGTTTTCCAATTAGTAAAAAATATTTTAATCTAAAACCTTAAATGTGAGCTCATAGAAAAATGGGAATCATTTAAAGATTTTCTCTTTAAATTATTACATAGTATTTTTTTTTTTATTTTGATGTTTTTCAATGTTTAAATATTTTCAGAATCTGATTCCTGAATCTAATTTTCATTCAGTAAATTCAGTTAAGAAATTAGTTTAAAAAAGTCGATTATTGCATACAGGACCTCAAGCTTTCAGATCCCAGAATATATAATAACATATTCATACGCTGTTTTATGGACGGCAAAAGCGAGCATATTGGTCGGCTTAGAAGGCATTGAATGCAATAGTTAGCTCTTATTTGCAAATAATCTTAGCCAAGTTAGTTCCACAATATGAATATAAAATATTTCGTTCGATCTATTCCTAGCATTGGGTATGGCCAAGTCGGGCATATTAAACTACCTATCTGAAGCTTACTCTTGCATACATTTTACAATGTGTTGTCGACTGTTTTGTTGCATTTGCAATTGCTGAGCTGTCAGTTCCAGCCACAGCTAGAAACCGCAAACAAATAAGGAAAATACGAGCATAACCACATGAAGTCAATTGAAGATATTCGTCTACCCACATATGTACATACATATATCCATACGATAATTGAAAAGTGAAAGTGATAATAAAGAAATAATATTTATGCAATCATATCTATGCTTTAAAGAATTTTACTTCGTAGAAATGATAAAGCTTTATTCAGAATATTTGTCGAATAATTACTTTGATTATTATAATATCCTATACCAGGCTATAACTCAGTCTCCTTTTTAGACTATTTAAACCTATTGTCAATGGGGCAATACCTGTTGTATATGAGCATTGCGGTAGGACATCCGATCTAAAGTTTATTAAATTTGGGGAACTTAATTTTGTGGTCAGAATTTAAAAATTTAATCCAATAGAAGAGAAGATAAGAAAGAAGAGATATGATATGGAGATTCCATCTTGCTTACATAGATACATGTTTTCCAGCAGAGATGAGTGGACGTTGGCTAGAATAACCTGTAAGGTAATTGAGCGTCTATTCGATAAGTATCTTTTTCTTTTGATTTTAGTTTACCTCGTATAGAAAAACTTTTTACATGAGTGTTTTCTAAAAGGATACATCTTACATATGAATACCCTGGGAATGAATACTCTTAATATGAATCCTCATATGAATACTCAGTGAATGAATACATTTAATTAGCATAAGTCGCTTTGAAAAACACCCAGTAAAACACCAATACTTAAAAGAATATTATTTAAATGAAAGCTTCCTCTATGATTTCTCTAGGTAAGAAAGAATACTCTATAAAAAAGTTTCGGCAATAACTCCTTTAAGTATATGAAAAGACTAAACAAAATATGAATACCAATACGGTGTCATATTTAGTCTAGTCTAGAATTCTACACCACAATAATCCCTGTCAGAATACCTTGTACTAGAATATTTTCTATATGAACTATTCACTTAAGAATACCCTGTAAATGAGAACATTCTACACGAACACTCTCTTGTTCTTGTGTACTGCAATACTATATGGAAGAATAGTTTCTGCTTTTCATAACCTCGGTCCGAATACCCTGTAAACAAAGCCAGTCGCCAACAACTTCTGTTGGGCATGATTTATCGCAAACTTATCGGATTGGGACTCAGAATTCTCTGATAGATTATGCCCTTGGCCCGAGCTTACTCTAAACAACGTCAGCATCAAGCCCCAAATATTCGACTAGTGGGCGTGGCATGGCATTCCATTCCATCATTCGTTCGGCCGTAATTAAACAATGTGAAAAAAGTGTTCGCTCTTCAATTACTCAACTGTGTTTCGCACTTCAGATGTCATCAGATGATTTGTGTTGTGCGATGCTTGACTTTTGTTTTTTTTGTTTTTCATTATTTGCCCCTGGCCCTGATGCATTTCTTACACCAAATTGCTGATACTTAAAAATGGCGCGCAGCGTAAAGCCAAAAAGTCAAAAGAGCCAATGGGAAAAGTCAAATGGCAGCAAAGCATTTGACGTTTGCCAATGTTGACAATTTGCATTGGGCAATGCCAACGGCCATAAATTTGACGCCACCAAGACCCGGACCCGGACCCGGACCCGTACACAGACTCAGACCCAGGCCCAGACCCGTACACGGACGAAAGCTATACGAGACTCCGGCTTGGCCAGCCCAACTGGAGTCCCTTGCCCGCTGCCCCTTGTCTGGCCATTTGGCTGGAAAGGCGCGCACAGCAAACAAGTTGGAATTTTTATAAATTACTCAGCTGTAAGTAGATCTGACCCCGTTGCCAGCGACAGCGATGCGTTTCAATATCGACAGACATACATGCATACACACACACACATACATACATATACATATATATGTAAATATGTATATTTGATAATTTTTCAACATTCTTCATTTAAGAACGAAGTAAATTTTTCATGATGCATATTCAAATTTAGCACTTGCTTTCATTTTGTTGGGTTTTTGGTTGAACTGGAGTCAGCTGCCTCGGGAGCTACTTGAGAAAAAGTCATTTGCTTAACGAAACATAGAAATATACAGACATATATAAAACATAGTATGATATAATTGTATTGAAGCATATGAATATATTGATAAAACTCTGAATAAGCATTCATTAAAAGTTTATGCCAAAAATCAAATAAAAACAAGTAAGAAGGCTCTAGTCGAGACTGCTCGACTAGGAGATACCCTGAACCCTCTAAGCTGATATTCTAATCATTCTGGACTTCTTTTATGCACACATACATACACATGCACATCCATTAACTTTATATACAACCCAAATTTGAAGACTCCAGGTCTAAAAGTCTTCAAATTAGGCTGAAAAAACAAAATCAATTTTTCGATTATTCTCGATAAAAAAGTTATCGGATGAGCTATCGAAAAAATAAAGCTCGTACTGCGTATGGTATACACGAGTATGCATGCCAAATTTCAGCTCTCTAGCTCTTATAAGTTCTGAGATCGACGCACTCATACGGACGGACGGACGGACAGACCGACAGGGCTATATCGACTCAGCGCGTCGTGCTGATCAAGAATATATATACTTTATGGGGTCTGCGATGACTCCTTCTGCCCGTTACATACTTTTCCACAAAGCCATTATACCCTGATTTCCCATTTTCAATGGGTTCAGGGTATAACAAGTTAGACCATTGCCGATGGGTGTTACCGACTGCAGAATACTCAGTCATGGCCCAAACGGTACTATATTCATTTTCTACAATTTGCCACGCCCTTAATAAGCTGTTTATAATTGCTATAAGTTATTGATTTTGAACTGCCTACACAATTGTACATTTCTTACTTCAAATACTATGTTTTCTGAGGTACTCGAAAATTCATTCTCCCAGTTGTCGCGCCTTTACGAATCGGATCTTCTATTGACATTATATTGTAATTCAAAAGTATATTCAGTCGACTCTTGTTATTTCAAACCTGCGTTATTTCGAACCTCTCATTAATTCAAAGTTATCACTCAGTAATTCGAACTAAAAATCATTGCTAAGACGGGGTAATTCGTACTCATATGGTTAAACACTCGACAATTCGAAATATTTTAAGAGGCCCCTGAATTTCGAAATAACGAGAGTCGACTGTATTCCAAATTTCAAGTCTGTGGGATGGACGAACATTGCATAAAACTAATATACCCCATTCACTTTCGTTAATGAGTATTAACACTATGTATGAAATAAATATGATCTGAGGTCTCACCCAGTGCCCGACAGCTGGTTAGGTCTGCTCTGATGGGTTCTCAATTTTTGCGCGTTCCTCAAAGTGAAGCAAAGAACCTTCAACAAATTTTGGGCCCAGATAACACGACACTAATGATCAGACTTGGCCGCCTGTGGCATTTTCTTGTACCTGAAACTTAAGAGGCCGATGAGAGGACAAGGTCACGCTGCAATTGGGCTGATAATGAACTGAATAAAATTAATTTATTCATTGACCTAACGTATATAATATCTGATGGCAGTGTCTTTAGAGGAAGCCAAATGGGTATACGTGAATAAATAAATATTTTTTGCTGCAAACATTTTTAAACAGCCCTCGTATATATACAAATTTATATAAAAATATATATATGTATGTATTTAAATATATGTAAATTTCTATTAGTCAAAATATTTAGAATTCATATTTATTTATTTGTTATATTACATTATTTTATTTTTGTATACTCGTACACTTCTCTCTGAACAATAGAGTTCCAAGGCTTCAAAATGTCTGCAGATTTTTGTGTTATTGTAACAACGTTTGGAGGGTTCCGGATTGAAGTGTTGACAGCTCTTTCAAGCCCCTTCAATTGGGACTTCTGGCTGGCTTTTTAGCATACCCTGTAGGTAACTGAAAAGGGGTATATTTGAGTGATGGAATATTAAGCATGCATAGATATAGATAGCTATGTTATATAGGCATCTAGATATATAGCTCTATTCAGATATAGCTATATTCCTGATCAGCTTGACTCACGACTTCAAATTTATGTCAATTGATCGATTTTATCCACATTTTTGCAATCGATAACAATCGATTTAGTGTTAGATCATAAATTCGAACTGTTTTTTATTTCCAAGCCTCAATTGGCCTAGTTTGGCTCTAATTAGGGTATATTTTAGTCGATCAGCTTCAGCTGCACAGCACTTTTACTTGCTTCAGTGTTGACCTTGTGCGCGCTTTCGCATGTTGTTGTTGTTGATTTCCTCTTGCTTCCACCTCCTTTTTTTGGCATTCAAATTATGTGAATGTATTTCATTTTCATTTGCGACTTGCGCTTGTTTTAGATTTGTTTGTTGTTTTATGGCTTGACCATTTGCCAGCATTGTGTGTGGTGCGGGTAGTGGTAGTGGTGCTGGTGCTTAGAGTCGGGAGAGG